GGGGGGGTTAGTTAGGGGCAACCAGGCAGGCAGACAGGGGAGCAATTAGGAGCCTGCAGTTCAGGATTGTGAGAGGGATGTCCAACTGCTGGCTTGGGCCTAAACCTGCAGTTGGACATCCCCCGAGGGGTTCCAAAATGGAGAGGGTGCAAGCTGGGCTGAGGAAACTCCCCTGTGCAGAAATTTCATGCACTGGGCCTCCAGTATATATATAATTAGTGATAAAGATCTATGGATTCTTGTATATTTTCTGTAGTAAGAACATTATTTGGTACTAGAGGCCCGGCGCACAAAAATTTGTGCACTGGGTGGGGTCCCTCAGCCTGGCCTGACCTCTCTCACAGCCTGGGAGCCCTCAGGGGATGTCCTACTGACAGCTTAGGCCCTCTCCTAAGCCACAGTCTGGCCTCCCTCTGCAGGAGGTGACCAGGCGATCATGGGAAGGTGCCGCTCCCATCACCCCGATGCTGCTGCCACTGCCAGCTGCCACGGCTGCCAGCCCTCAGCCTGCGTTTCTTAGTGCTGGCCCCGCCCCCTGCCCACTGGTGGGTGGGGGGTGATCTGGGGCCAGGCTGGCTGGGGGAGGGGCTGGGGGCAGTTGAGGCACAGCAGGTCACACCCCATCCAGCCTCTGCAGAGGCATGGTGCCAGGATTGGCCCGCGCCGCTGACACTGTGGCTGCCTCTGCAGAATGGGCAGCACTGGGACCGGAACCACACAGCCCCCTCTCCCACTGCCTCTGCAGAAGGGCCCACACTGAGGTCTCTCCTGCAACGGCGCACCTCTGCTCCTGCTCCCGCAACATTTCTAGGGTGTCTACTGTGATGTCACCAACCAGGGACAGTTCACTGGCAATGCACTCCTGTGGGGGTATTTAGCTGTGGTAGCATTGCATATTTGGGGTTCCCCAAGTGTCCCTGATCTATGGAGCTGGCCATGGTGATTGGGAAGCCTGGGTGGGGAGAACCAATCTGGGGGGAGACATGGTGTGGTGAAGGCTGGGGCATATCTGTGGTGATGGGCTGGCATGTGAAGGCTGGGACTGGGGTCTGAAGGCTGGACAGGGCCAGAGATCTCACCTGAATACTGAGAGATATGGCCATTTGCTGCCCGGAGAGGTGAGGCCCGTGGCTCTCTGAGAGCATGTGCTGCTGGGGTTCATGGGGTTTGTTTAGGTCCGTGCTGACAGGAGACAGGCCAAGAGACGTTGTGAGAGTTTTATAAATTTTATTTTAATACACAGCAGTGTATCCATTTCAGCAAGCAAGAGTAGGGAGGGTGGGATATTTATGTCTCTGTGTGGGTTGGACGTAGGTGCAGGTGGTTGCAGGAAGCTGGGTCTAGCATTGCTTTTCTCGGCTGCTTAGCTTCTCTTGTGACACCTGAGATGAAAATAAAAGGAAAACAGCAGAGAGGGCAGGAGCCTCAAACAGGGACAATAGAAAAGTGCTGAGCGCAGGGGAGAAACTGAGGGTAGGGGAAAGGTACAGAGTATGCCTACAGGGTTTGGCTGGCCTGGGACCCAATCTGCTGCTGGATCCGCTGCTGCTTCATGGCTGCCTGTAGTGTCAACTTCCCTGAGGCTGCTGCAGCCAGGCCAGTGCCGCCTATCTCTTGCTGCTGTTGCTGCTGCTGCTGCTGTTGCTCTGTGGCATCTCTCTGTATTGTGGCTCATACTCGTCACGCTGGGGTTGCGCCCTGGGTTCATGATGTTCAAGGCCTGGCCCTGGGGGTTCAGGCCTCCCATTGCTTGCTGCTGCGGAGGGACAGCAGGTTGTGCCCCACTGGCTTGCATGGTGTTTAGACTCAGCAGGCTGGGCTAGAGCTGAAGGCTGGGCTGGCTGGCCACTTACTTGGCCGTGTGCTGTTTGATGAGAGCTGCCATCAGCTGAGGGTTTGACTTGAGGATGTTGAGCATGGCCTCACGTGCAATCTGCCGGGCGCCTCCACTGCTGCAGGTGGGCCAGGCGGGGGGCGGTGGGTCTGACACCTGGTTAGTGGGCTTCCCAGTGCAAACTGTGGTGGGGGGCTGAGTTCTAGCCACACTGGAGAAGCTGGCTAGTGACATGCTCACAGGCGAGGTCTGGGGCAGAGTCGAGGGCTGTGGTGTCCAGGGTGTGCTGGGATGCAGTGTGGGGGGCCGATGTCAGGACCAGCCTGGCAGGTTGAACCGGACTGAGGTAAGGAGGTGGGAATTGAGAAAAGAAAGACAGGAGAATGGGATCAGGAGGACTACAGCTCAGTCGAGGAACTGCAGTAAGTTTATTAACCACGCAATGCCTTTTATACACAAAACACTGAATAGGAGGTCTGTCAAGAGGAATGTATTCTTTGTTCCTCTTAATCTCTAAGGGAGAGACACAGCAAAAGGACAAGTTCTCGGTACAGCAAATCTCAGTAAATAGTTACAGATTTCTTGGTAAGCCATGAAAGGCTGTTCTCATTCTACAAAGGTTGCTCTCATTCTACTGATAATCGCCATCCAAACAAGTCTGGGAAAACTGTGTGGGTAAGGGTCCCAGCCTTGCTAGCCCCATCAGGTGCAAGGACCATGTCAGCTTACACCCGGTCTCCAACAGGCTGGGGTGGTGCTGAAGGAGGGGATGGCTGACTCAGCTGAGGCACGGTGCGGGTGTTGATGGCAGCATCTGCTGGCGCATGAGCTACGAGTGCTGCCGGCAGTGCTGTACCTTCTGCTGGCTGAGCTTCTGCTTGATGTTGAGGTAATAGGGAACAGGGCATGTGTTTTCTTGGCAGTGTTTGGCATGGTAGCAGCAAAGGGCCATGAACTGCTTGCACACTCCGCAACCTCCATTGGTCTTGTGCTGGCAGCCCTTGGTGTGCTGCACAACCCACTTCATCTTCTGGCAGGACGGCTGTCGGCAGTTGGCTTCACGGCACTGGGGCCTGCCTCAGGGACTGGAGGCAGCGCTGGATGGCCTGGTGCCGCCACTCCCTGAGGCTCCTGAACTGCTGCTCACACTGGCTGCTGCCCTCATGGGCCTCTTCATCCAGGCCCAGCCCCACCTTCACCATCTGTGGGTGTGGCCTTTTGTGTTGTAGCAGTTGATGCAAAGATCTTCGTCCTTGCACCCACCCTCTGCCACTCCCACAGCAGAGCGGAGGCAGTACCGCCCCCTCCGCTCCCACTCCCTTGGCGGCAGGGCCACTCCACTGCAGGCCTTAGGCCAGTGATGGCGAACCTTTTGAGCTCGGCGTGTCAGCATTTTGAAAAACCCTAACTTAACTCTGGTGCCGTGTCACATATAGAAATTTTTTGATATTTTCAATCATAGTAAAACAAAGACTTATATTTTTGATATTTATTTTATATATTTAAATGCCATTTAACAAAGAAAAATCAACCAAAAAAATGAGTTCACGTGTCACCACTGACACGTGTGTCATCGGTTCGCCATCACTGCTCTAGGCCCTCACAGCAGTTGTAGCTTTGTCCAGATGGATGTCCGGAAGACATCTGCTCTAATTAGCATATTATCCTTTTATTACTATAGACTAGAGGCAC